AATAATAATAATAATAATAATAATAATAATAATAATAACCAGCTTAATCCCCAGTGGAGTCGCCAATCTGTTGACGACCACTTAAGATTTTTTTCAAAATAAATTGAAAAAATCAAGTGTGAAATATATAAGAAAAAGGGAGTCGCCACTCGTCCAAATTATAAGGTGGGACAAGTCACCTAAAACGGGTCTGCGCAGAGATCGGGGTTCGGGGGTTCGGTTAGGAGTGAGGAAGGGCATACGCGCACCTCACAATCCTCCGTTTAAACACGGTTGCATACTTTAAAATTGGGGTTTGATTCAACTTATTCATTATGTTTGTATTTGAGTCTTAATAGGCAAGCCTGGAAGAAGGATAAGCCAAATTGAAACATTTTTAAAATTTTTGGACTAAAATGGACAAAATCAAAGACAAGCATGCATCATAAGCACAAATAAAATTAAAGAGACTAATTTGATTAAATTCGAAAATATGAAGGACTGATTTAAAATGATTTGAAACTTTGGGACTGAATTGCTTAATCATAAAACTTATGGGTGAAATTGAGATAAAATAAAAGATAACTTTGACTTTGACCAAGATTAAAGTTAATTGAAAATTAAAATTAATTAATCAAAATAATTAATCTAATTAAATAATTAACTTAACATTAATTAAAATTAATTAAAATTAATCATATTTACTAATCATTAATTGAGATAACTAAATAAATTTAATCATCTCAAATCAAACTCAATAAATATGATTAATTTATTTTAATTAAAATTAATTAACTTCATTAATCATAAATTAAACTAACTCTTTTAATTAATCCATAATTTTATATTATTAATTTTTTTTAACCTTTTTTTAGTTTTTTAGTTTAGTTTTTTTTTATTGAATCGGGTCAACCCGACCCACAAAACACGACCTCTCAACCCATGCCGGACAAAACAGGTCAAACACCAAGTTCATCATCTCAAGTTCATCATCTCATTTCCAGCAAAAGGTGAACAGATTCATGAAGCAAATAAACAGGCAAATCTATGATCTTTCATTCACCTCTCAAGAAATACATACGATCTTGAACATTAAATGAAAAATACAAAGAGAAAGAAATCAACAAACAAAGCAACACCCACGGCGGAATTCTTCTAGGAAAAGCAGATCCAGATCTGATGGGAGGGATCCCACCCACGAGACCAGGCTCCCATCGTCCCCTTCACCACCGTTCCTAGAAAACTCCTCTGTTCAAAGATTTACCTAAACAGAAGCAGACACAGCCAATAAGCCCTCCGTCAACGTCCGGATACAAAAACCGAGCCCCCCTCTCAACAGAAAGTTCTTCCTCTCCTCCGCCGTCAACACCAGACTCACCAAAACAGAAAGGACCCCCTTCAGCTCCAAGAGGAACCCGAAAATCAACCAGCAAAGTCCCCAAAATCAAACTCCAAAAACACTCCCCAGCAACAGACCCGAAATCAACCCCCCTTTTTCAATCTGATTTTCCTCTATATATATACCCGAATAAAAGATAAAAATAAAGATAAAAATAATAAAAAAGCCTTGCTCTGTCAATCAATAATAATGCTAATTTGTCTGGAG